AAAAAATTGAAATTCCAAAATTCAAATGTGACCGCAACATGTAAACATAAATATATCTATATAATATATAATTCACAAGGACATTATATCAACAGCTAATTGACAAGAAGATATATACATTATAAACCCATAATCATCTAGATTACTTCATTACAAACCCATTCATTACAAACACATAATAATTAAAATTTGTTCATTGTAAACCATAATAATTTAGATCAGAGAATTTAAATTCCTAGAACTTCCCAACGTCGTGCCACATACTCGGAGAAGTGCAGATCATTAATTTCATATGCCAAAATGTCACTGATGTAGCGCAATGTATTTACTAGTGCACTCTCCCTTGCTTCATAATATCGCTCACAAGGTCTATTGACGACGATCAGCATTGGTCGAGAACCTTCTCTCCTAGTCACAAGAATTTTTTTCCTAGATTCCCTCTGAAGTGAGAACAGGGCCACCATATTCCGATCTATAACGACCCAATTGATGCATGGCCTGGTTTATAATGGCTTCAAAGCTACCACTTGAGTATGTTACGCCATTCTCCTCAATCTGCCTCTGTTGGAAAAAAAAAAGTGGTTATGAGAACCATGCATATATATAGACATAACAATTAATCTGGATATAAGTTATGAGACTGACCACATCATTTATGTTGTTCTCAGCAAGCTATGCACAATAATGCCCAATATCGTGGTGGAGGCCCACATCCAAAGATTCAATCCTCATGGAGGAGTATGTAGGAATATTGCACCCAATTCTTTGAAGCACCCTTAAACATTCTTGCACAGCATATTTTTACGCACTAATATCATGATATTGTGCGCTGCCCATCCTCTCGATGTATAAAACTAGACCTTATTGGTTACCCGCCCTAGCTAGAATAGAAAAACCCAATTCGACATTGCTTGAGTCCACCATCTATAGGGAATGTACCAACATAGGGAATGTACCAACATTGAGGTAATCAACCTCGAAAATTGAGAGTGTCTCTCTGAGCCATGGTATAGGTTGAACTGTCTATATTTAAAAATTATATATATCAGAACAAAATATCTAGAGGTGTCTTTAAAATATGTTACTTACAAAGCTTGGATATGTGTGGTTTGCCCACACCAATGTTGGTTGGAAGTCCAGATCAAATGCATAATTATCTGGCAGATCCGGCGAAGGGAGTTCGGCCATCTCTTCTCCTAAATTTATGTCCAGGAAAACAGTTATAGTAGAGAATGATAGGAAAGGAGAGGAGTAGGAGAACTAGGAGCAGAGGACAACAATGTAGCTCCAAACAATGCTCATATAAATTGAAAAACGCAACCCCATAAAAAAATTATTGCACAATAATGAAGAACAATTATTCTACTCCATGCCACATAAAAATGGAGACACTAATTTTAAAAATAAGTCTAAAATTGGAGACATGATCATGAACAATAATGTAGCTCCAAACAATGCGTTGTTATGTGACACATAGATTAGTTTTCTCAACAAATTGTAAAAAGAATCTACTCTACTTCTAAGAACTAATTATAGTATCACATACTAACAATGATGATCTTGACCACCATGGAATAATTAGCTAGGAATTTAAATATGTTCATAGACACCAACCTTTTGGACGATGAATTCACCATAATTTGAGCCTTGCACAAAGGTCCAATTGGAAAAGTGCTCTCTAGAATGGAGAAAGGACTAGAATGAGAATCAAGCAATGTGGCCATCACAACGAAGCTAATTAAGCAACAAAATCAAAGGAGTGGATGTTTGTTACTAACCTTAAAGCAAAAAGATCAAGCCATTCTACAAAATCCAAGCGCTAGCTTCATGGTAAAGAGCAGCCGCAACAATGTAGGGAAGGTCCCAAACGCGTGCCTCTGTTCTCGGGATGGAAGAGAGGAGGAAGGAGAGGACGGCTGCAGCCTTTTTGTGCTGTAGGCTTATCACCGTCGGTTCATGGATAGAACCGACAGTGATAGATCACAATCACTGTTGGCTCTTGGCTTGAACGGGCAGTGATATGTGGCCATCAAGCCACTGCCAGTTAGAGACACAAACTGGCAATGATAGTTGCCATCACTGCCGGTTCGGTCACATCCCAAATCAATTTCTGGTTTTCAGAGCAAAGAACCGGCAGTGAAGGGTCAACATTGCCGGTTCTCCTAATTCCGGCAGTGAAGTGCAATTCTGTAGTAATTTCTGGTTTTCAGAGCAAAGAACCGGCAGTAAAAGGTCAACACTTATCCATTCTTGAATGGCGAGGAAAGCCGCATGCTCCTTTGTTCCTTTTTCCTTGGCTTTCTCCTTCTTCTTGATTCTTTCCTTCAATCCTTCCTCATTATCAACATATACACTCGAAGATGGTCGAGACTTATGGAGTACTCATCCTCCAAACAATACCCACATGCCTTGGCAGTCTTTTTGGCATGTGCACTGGGTACTCATCTGCACTTCAGGAGATTCTTCGCTCTCTTCTTCTTTACTTGAGCTTGGTTCTTGCCGCCATCTTGTTCTAGCTCTTGTGCTTGCTTGTGGCGGAGAAGCCCTTGATGCTTGGTATTGGTAAAGAAGTCTTATTGCCTATGCCCATGTGCATCTTTATAGTGAACGCCACTACTACAGAGTATACCATCAGTGTTTGAAAGCCACTACTACAGAGTATACCATCAGTGTTCGCCGATCGGTAGTGATAAGCCTCGTAGCTTCAACCGCCAGTGATAGTATAACCGACAGTGATAGATGGGCTTTCACATATTGCCAATTGGTAACAGAGACCAGCAGTGATTCTTTAGCCCTGGACCTAAATTTTTGCGTCAACACGGTTCATGCAGCGGGATCACGATCACAATGCTTTTTTTGTTATTATGTGAGAATAAGCATCATTGCCGGTGACAAACCGGCAGTGCAACGCCAAGGCCAACACCGTCCATTAACCACTGGCGGATTGAAATCTGGCACCAAAAGCGCTGGTTCCAAACCAGCAATGATTGCTAGTTACGGGTAGCGAGCACCCAAATGCTTGATCGGTCCAAAAAAAAAAGGTCACTATCAGATGCAGCAGGACGTTAATGAAGCGCCGATATCATATCAAAATGTTAGGGATCCAGTGAATAGAAAGTTAACATTTTGCTATGTGTTGTGGCAATAGCAGGCTGCAGGCTTACAGGATGACCTCACTGGTGAAGCACGGAGGACAGATGATGGATAGAAGCTTCACCACAGATTAACTCAAAAGTAAAGCGTGTGCGTTAGCTACCCTTTTAGGCTTTTACCCGTTCGTGCCCGCCTTGGTACGGAAGCATTCCAGTCGATTAATTCATGTATGTCAGCTCCCGAAAAAATGATGACCATGTAAACATTGGAAACATGAGGAGTTGACTCTCTCTATTCGTATGTGAGCACAAGCGCATGGATCGACCATTTCAACCATCACAGTCCACCATCAGCAACTGCTTCTGGGAAGGTCTTAATCACCATTAGAAAATAAAATAAATCATCTCTCCATGTTATCAACATCTTAATCATCTCTCCATATTACCCAGCAACAATTAACAAACCGCACCGTTCAAAAGGACTTATTTACCTGCGTTGAAATTTAAATAAATGAGATGTGCTCCAGTACTCCTCTTTTAAAAAAAATACACGTATCCCAATGCAGCCTAACTAATTAATTAAATGTGTTCTTTATTTCTCACCTGTGTCACGCATGGGCTTGGGCCCGGAGCGTCCTATCCAGCCCGTGCCCAGCTTGAACCAAAGCCGAACTTAATCCTCTCGACATGCTTTTGTTTCGGATTCTGCTCCTATATATTCACTGCTTGCATATATATCGACATGCACCTTGATGCGTTGCTTCGTCGGTAGCGCCAGCAGCGGCATCCATCATCCATGGCCGCCGTCGCGGTGGCTGGCCTCACACACGACACACGAGTAGCAGTAGCAGCCAGCAGCGGACGTCCATCAGGAAGCGGCGCTGTCGCGCGGACTTCCTCACGCGAAATAGAACAGCGCTGCCGGAGCTCCTCTCCGGGAATCGAAGGGATCCGAAGGATGATGAAAACAAAATCCTCCGATCAACAGGATCCAAAGGATGAAAAGATCCATCCTCCGATGAACTGGATCCGAAGAAAGTGGGATCGAGTAGACATGAAGTTCGGCTTGCGTCTGGGCTTGGCGGGCCGAGAATATGTGAGACCCAGGTGAAAAATGATTAAGAAAATGTTTAATTAATTAGCTGAGCTGCTTTGAGAGATGTGCGATTTTTGAAAGAGGAGTATTGGAGCAAAAGCCTAAATAAATAACGTAATTACTAGGAATACCCATTTTATGGTTTACTTCCTAATATTTTGGAATTAATTTTTAAAAGGATAATGACCTTGATCCTTCCACCCAAAAACACCAAAGAAAGAAAGAATACATATTCCAAAGAGATCACATTGGATTTGTTAATGTAATGCATGTGAAAATATTAAAACCAAGGTAGGTTTGGAAAGGTTGATATAGTATTAAGATAATTAATTGTGTTGTTTCGTCTGCAGGTTCTAGCAGCCGGAGACCATTTCTTCTTTTGGTAGGTTGAACATGGACTTTTCCGGTCATTAACACGTTCACGTCACCACCGTTGCCGCTGTGGCAGCCTATATAAACACACACCATCCCCATGCCCAAAACATCAAACAGACAGAAGCTCCATAGCTCAATTCAGAGAGCACAAACATTAAACCAGATGGCTCCCTCCACCTACTTTCTCCTGGCTTCGCTTCTAGCATTGGCCACTTCTCAGGCCATTGCTTCAGACCCTAGCCCGCTCCAGGACTTCTGTGTTGCCGACATACACTCTCCAGGTATGCATGCACTCAGTTTAAATAATGCGCTATGTTCTTGTACTAAATTACAGATCAAATCATAATTGTTTTTGTCAGAACAAACACTATTTTTATGTATGTCCTAGTGACTTCTGACCGCTGTGTACCTATTTTTCTTTGTCTTTGGATATGCAGTGAAGGTGAATGGATTTGTTTGCAAGGACCCCATGGCCGTGAACGCAGATGACTTCTTCAAGGCAGCAAACCTTGACAAGCCTAGGGACACAATGAAAAGCAAGGTCGGATCCAATGTCACTTTGATCAATGTCATGCAGTTGCCTGGACTCAACACCCTGGGCATCTCGTTGGCTCGCATTGACTACGCACCATTAGGTCAAAATCCACCACACACCCACCCACGTGCCACAGAGATTCTCACCGTGCTTGAGGGTACACTCTATGTTGGATTTGTCACCTCCAACACAGACAACGGCAACAAGCTATTCGCCAAGGTTCTCAACAAGGGTGACGTGTTTGTATTCCCCCAAGGGCTCATCCACTTCCAATTCAATCCGGTCCATGACAAGCCAGCTGTCGCGATCGCTGCACTAAGCAGCCAGAACCCTGGGGCTATTACTATTGCCAACGCAGTCTTTGGATCAAAGCCACCGATCTCAGATGATGTCTTGGCCAAGGCTTTCCAGGTGCAAAAGGAACAATTGATTGGCTCCAAGCTCAATTCTGGGAGAACAACCACTACTAAGTAAATTAATTGAGACTCACTTCATTGTATGAAGATAGATTTATATGCATTTTGCGTACTCTTTTGTGTATTCAGTTATGACGACATGCTACAGCCGAGATATATAATAGAATAAATGAGAAGTATTTTGTAACCAGTCACTGTTTTTGTGTCTCTCCTACAAGCTATACCACCATGTTCTTTTTCGAATATTTATATTAAAGTACGGGACACTACCCCAGATCAGGACAATACTGCCGGTTCAAAACACCCCATCACTGCCGGATTTTGAACCGGCACAACCATACCGGCAGTGATGAGGGTTAGCAATCACTGTCGGTTCCTACAAACCGCAGTGAGTGTTTTCAACTTCACTGCGGTCCTTTACACAACCCAGCAGAGTTCAGTTCCACCAACACTTTGCCGGTTCAAGAGACCACCCAGCATTCCACTCGATTAATTTATGTATGTTAGCTCCCCATTAAATGGTGACCAAGTAAACATTGGAAACATGAGGAGTTGACTCTTTCTATCCTTATGTAAGCACAAACGCATGGATCGACCATTTGATCCAATATTGTTCTTTAGGCAACTATCACAGTCCACCATCAGCTAACGTGATTACTGGGAATGTCATAATCACCATTAGAAAACAAGTATCTTACCTGGTAACAATTAACAAATCACGCCGTCCAAAAGGACTCATTGACCTGTGTTAATTTAGATAAATATTCGTTGGGTTAAATTACGATAATGTCAATACATATTTACGATAGTTGGGTTACTATAACACATGGGGATATTTACCGTAACGTTATAGTAAACCACTTAGTAACGAGTTACTATAATCTCGTAAATTAACATAGTAATTGTCGTAACTCAAAGTGGCTACATGATAAGGTATTTTGTAGCCCGCTACAAGGTAGTAGTTATATATATATATATATATATATATATATATATATATATATAACTTACCTGGCAACAGTTAACAAACCACACCGTCCAAAAGGACTCATTTACCTGTGTTAAAATTTAGATAAATATAGTAATTATTACCCATTTTATGGTTTCCTTCCTATTATTTTAGAATTACTTTTAAAAGGATAATAAGCATGACCCTTCCACCCAAAAACACAAATGAAAAGAAAGAATACGCGTTCCAAAGAGATCCCATTGGATTTGCTAGTGTAATGCGTGTGAAAATACATATTAAAACCAAGGTAGGTTTAAAAAGGTTGAGAAATATAGTATATGATAATTAGTTGTGTTGTTTCATCAGCAGGTTGAACTTGCACTTTTTCTGTCATTAACGTGTTCACGACGCCACACTTGCCGTTGTGGCTGCCTATATAAACACACCATGCATCCCCATGCCCAAAGCATCAACAGAGAGACGCAAACTCAACAAGCAGCTCTCTATAGCTGAGTTCGAAGAGCACAATCATAAAAGCGAGCCAAAAATTAAACTAGATGGTTCCCGCCATGTACTTTCTCCTCGTTTTTTTCTAGCATTGGTCACTTCTCAGGCCATTGCTTCTGACCCTAGCCCGCTCCAGGACTTCTGTGTGGCTGACATACACTCTCCATATATGCATGCACTCACTTTAAGGGCATGTTTGGAAGCCCGGTATTTAGTCCAAGACACCTGTAAATTACAGGCCTGTCAATTTTTCCGATGCAAGCAAGAATTAGATGTTTGGATGGCTAGTGTGCACACTAATTTTACATACGGATTGAGCCAAAACCGATGTAAAATAAAAATCACCTCCTCCAGCCCGGAAAAGAAAATGGCACGTATCGGGCCGTCCCGAGGTCACGCTCGTGCCTCCTGTCGCTGTCACATCCGCTCCCGTAGCCCCACCCACCTCCCCCACACGCCACCGCTTCTTCTCCTGCCGCACGAGCTTTCTTGTAGTAAACTGAGGATCAAATAATAATCATTTGTCACAATAAACATTATATTTTTTAGTATGTCCTAATGTTTTCTGATCTCTGTGTACCTATTTTCCTTCGTCTTTGTATATGCAGTGAAGGTGAATGGATTTGTTTGCAAGGACCCCATGGCCGTGAATGCAGATGACTTTTTCAAGGCAGCAAACCTTGACAAGCCTAGGGACACCATGAAAAGCAAGATCGGATTCAATGTCACTTTGATCAATGTCATGTAGTTGCCTGGACTCAACACCCTGGGCATCTCATTGGCTCGCATTGACTACGCACCATTAGGTCAGAATCCGCCACACACCCACCCACGTGCCATAGAGATTCTCACCGTACTGGAGGGTACACTCTATGTTGGATTTGTCACCTCCAACACAGACAACGGTAACAAGCTATTCACCAAGGTTCTCAACAAGGGTGAAGTGTTTGTGTTCCCCCAAGGGCTCATACCCTTCCAATTCAACCCAATCCATGACAAGCCGGCTGTAGCAATCGCTGCACTAAGCAGCCAGAACCCTGGGGCTATTACTATTGCCAACGCAGTCCTTGGATCAAAACCACCGATCTCAGATGATGTCTTGGCCAAGGCTTTCCAGGTGCAAAAGGGAAAAATTGATTGGCTCCAAGCACAATTCTGGGAGAACAACCACTACTAAATAAATTGATACTCACTTCGTTGAACGAAGATAGGTTTATATGCATTTTGCATACTCCTGTGTGTAACGACGACATGCTACGGTCGAGATATAATACAATAAATGGGAAGTATATGTAACCAATCACTGTTTTGTGTTTCTGCTGCAAGCTATACCACCATGTCCTTTTTCGAATATTTAAACTGAATTACATGAGGACCCTACAAAATTTATTGAATATTGTTTTTATATGATATGTTGTTACACAAAAAAAATATTTTTGGACGGTAATTTGGAGACAAATATTGCATGGAGCCGTCCAAATTACTAAGCTAAACTGAACTATCAACCGGCAGCTAAGATTAAATTAATCAACCCAGTAGGCCTAGGAGCCACACGACCAGTGTGTTCCACTAGATGCATATAATAACGAAAGTCAAGTATCATAGGTGGTCACTAGATGCATATAATAACGCGCTCTTCCCGGCCGTTGGAAAGGGCTCGTCCAGGCAGCCACGAAGGCGCAAGGCCATTTCCAAGGTCGCATCGTTGTATCGGTATTGGTTGTTTCCTTTTATGTAATATCGAAACAAGAGGTATTTTGCTAGGATGGTCCAGCTACGTCTGTGTTAGGTCGACCTCCTTCAGCGCTCGATAGAAGCGCGTTGTATATTTGCTTAAACTCTTCTACTTAATACAATGATACGCAAATCTTTTGCGTATTCGAGAAAAAAAATCTAGACTATATAGAGCTCCTTTATCGTTAAACCAAGCAATCTCAAGCAGAAACCAGCGGATGGTCCATCTCTTCGTCTCTTCTACAACTATAAAAATTATGAAACAGATATCGTATGCCATGCTACCTTCGCTTCAACCCCAAGTAAGCTACGCCCGGCCTTGTCTCATCCTTTCCCCCCGGACCGATCCGCTCAGCTTTGTAAAAAAAAGAAGGCAAAAGTCTCTTGGGTGAAACAGAAACCTCGAATTCCTCATGAACCCGGCCCCGTCCGATGCCCCGCCCTACCCCCGACACCGACGCCGCCATGCCTCCTCCACACCCTGCACCGGTGCCTCCCAGTCCTCCCCGCTGACGCTGACGGCCTGCCCCTGCCCCTTCATGCTGCTAACCTCCACCCTCCGCCATCCCGCATCCCACATCCCGCTGCTGCTGCTTCGCGTCGCCACCGGCGCAGGCCAGGTGCTAAGGTCTTCGTAGGTCCCTTCACCAGGTGTTCGACGGTCCCTTCATTTGGCGGCGAGCACCCCACATCGCTGTCGTGGTCCATGACTCAGCGCTGTCGTCCGTCGCCCGCCCGCTGCCGCTGCCGCTGCTGCTAACTGCCGCCGCCATCGCGCACTCATAGCGCCCGCCCATGCAGCGCGCCGCCGTCCAGCAGATGCAGCTCGCCACGCAGCGTGCTGCTCGTCATCCCGCCGCCGCAGCTAGCTCGCCTCCCTTGTTGATTGGATCAGGGAGGGAGGAACTGTTCTGGTTGCTAGCCTAAAGGTGTTCCAAGTACCAGATGTGACAAACAAGACGGTGAAACAAGTATGATGGACAACAAGTGTACGAGAAATAAGGGACGAGATAGCCCCGCTAACACAGCTTACTTTGGGGTTCTCTATGTAGTAGTTGAACCGGCAGTAAGATGAAGTTGTGCAGTAGTGTAAACTGGTGTTTATTTTATATAAGTTCTCTTATAAAGCATGACTAACCATCCCCAATAATGCATCTTGTTACAGTTGGCATATTGGCATAAGCCACCCCTACAAAATATAAAATCACTATGGGCCATCACTGCTCATTGCTTTGGAACCGGCGGTGATAAGGTTTGAAGCTTCAACCAGCAGTGATAGGTAGGATTTCCCTGCCAGATATTGCCAACCGGTAACTCAGACAGGTAGTGATTCTTTACCTTTGGACCCAATTTTTTGTTTCAACACGGTTAGGTGTGGAGGGGGTGCAGGCACAGTCCTGTTTTTCCATTCTTTTTTATAATTTGAAATAGGCGCGCATCACTGCCGTACCAGCGAAATGCCAAGGTCAACACTGCTGACCCAGCCAAATGCTTGATCGATCAAAAAAAAAAGTCACAGCCTGACGCAGCAGGACGTTAATGAATTGCGGATATAATCTGAAAAAGTCAGGGAGCAGGCAACCAAATGGCTTACCTCACTGTACTGATAGACAGAAGCTTCACCTGATTAACTCAAAAGTAAAGCGTGCGCGGTGGCTACCCTTTACCACTTCGTCCCCACCTTGGTACAGAAGCGCGCATTCCACTCGATTAATTTATGTATGTTAGCTCCCGATAAAATGGTGACCAAGTAAACATTGGAAACATGAGCAGTTGACTCTTTCTATCCTTATGTAAGCACAAACGCATGGATCGACCATTTGATCCAATATTGTTCTTTACTTAACTATCACAGTCCACCATCAGCTAACGTGATTACTGGGAATGTCATAATCACCATTAGAAAACAAGTATCTTACCTGGTAACAATTAACAAATCACGCCGTCCAAAAGGACTCATTGACCTGTGTTAATTTAGATAAATATTCGTAATTACTAGGAATAACCCCATTTTATGGTTTACTTCCTAATATTTTAGAACTAATTTTAAAGGATAATAAGCATGACCCTTCCACCCAAAAACACCAAAGAAAGAAAGAATACACATTCCAAAGAGATCACATTGGATTTGTTACTGTACTGCATGTGAAAATATTAAAATCCAGGTAGGTTTGCAAAGTTCTTTGGTAGGTTGAACTTGGACTTTTCAGTTTCACGTTCATGTCGCCACTTGCCGTTGTGGCAGCCTATATAAAACGCCATCCCCATGCCCAAAGCATCAACATAGAGGCATAAACTCAACAAGAAGCTCCATAGCTGAGTTCGGAGAGCACAAACATAACAGCAAGAAAATTAAACCAGATCCGCCACCTACTGTCTCCTCGTTTCTTTTCATGCGTTCGTTTCCTAGGGACTGACCCTACCGCTCGGCATCTAGCCGACATACATTCTGGATATGCATGCACTCACTTTAAGTCATGCTATATTCCTGTACTAAACAGAGGATCAAATAATAATCATTTGTCACAACAAACATTATACTTTTTATGTATGTCCTAATATTTTCTTTCCTTCGTCTTTGTATATGCAGTGAAGGTGAGTGGATTTTTGCAAGGACCCCATGGCCGTGAAGCGCAGATGACTTTTTCAAGGCAGCAAACCATGACAAGCCTAGGGACACCATGAAAAGCAAGGTCGGATCAATGTCATGGATTTGTCAACACCCTCGGCATCTCGTTGCTCGCATCGAACACGCACCATTAGGTCAGAATTCGCCACACACCCACCCACGTGCCACAGCCAAGATTCTCACCGTGCTAAGGGTACACTCTATGTTTTGTACCTTAAACCCCAATGGTAACAAGCTATTCGCCTAGGTTCTCAATAAGGGTGACGTGTTTGTATTCCCCAAGGGCTCATACACTTCCAATTCAACCCGATCCGTGACAAGCCAGCTATGTCATAATCGCTGCACTAAGCAGCCAGAACCACAGGGCTATTACTATTGCCAACGCAGTCTTTTGATCAAAACCACCAATCTCAGGTGATGTCTTGGCCAAGGCTTTCCAGGTGCAAAAGGAACAATTGATTGGCTCCAAGCTCAATTCAGGAGAACAACCACTACTAAGTAAATTGAGACTCACTTCATTGTACGAAGATACGTTTATATGCATTTTGCACACTACTACAGTAAGCATTTGTCTTTGGCGGAAGGCAATGGTTTATAGAGGCGGTTTTATCAGACGCGCGCTTACCACAACATCTCTACAAATCAACGGTTTGTAGGGGTGGTTCCCAAGCCGCCCTACAAATCGATTTTTTAGAGGCGACTTGTGTCACTGACCGCCTCTACAAAAATGATTTGTAGGGCGGTTGTAACACTAGCGACTCCAATAATTCCCATTTTAGGAGTGGTTCACTCTACCGTACATTTTACACCAAAAAATTGAAATTCCAAAATTCAAATGTGACCGCAACATGTAAACATAAATATATCTATATAATATATAATTCACAAGGACATTATATCAACAGCTAATTGACAAGAAGATATATACATTATAAACCCATAATCATCTAGATTACTTCATTACAAACCCATTCATTACAAACACATAATAATTTAAATTTGTTCATTGTAAACCATAATAATTTAGATCAGAGAATTTAAATTCCTAGAACTTCCCAACGTCGTGCCACATACTCGGAGAAGTGCAGATCATTAATTTCATATGCCAAAATGTCGCGATGTAGCGCAATGTATTTACTAGTGCACTCTCCTTGCTTCATAATATCCCTCACAAGGTCTATTGTTTGACGATCGGCATTGGTCGAGAACCTTCTCTCCTAGTCACAAGAATTTTTTTCCTAGATTCCCTCTGAAGTGAGAACAGGGCCACCATATTCCGATCTATAACGACCCAATTGATGCATGGCCTGGTTTATAATGGCTTCAAAGCTACCACTTAAGTATGTTACGCCATTCTCCTCAATCTGCCTCTGTTGGGAAAAAAATGTGGTTATGAGAACCATGCATATATATAGACATAACAATTAATCTGGATATAAGTTTTGAGACTGGCCACATCATTTATGTTGTTCTCAGCAAGCTATGCACAATAATGCCCAATATCGTGGTGGAGGCCCACATCCAAAGATTCAATCCTCATAGAGGAGTATGTAGGAATATTGCACCCAATTCTTTGAAGCACCCTTAAACATTCTTGCACAGCATATTTTTACGCACAAATATCGTGATATTGTGCGCTGCCCATCCTCTCGATGTATAAAACTAGACCTTATTGGTTACCCGCCCTAGCTAGAATAGAAAAACCCAATTCGACATTGCTTGAGTCCACCATCTATAGGGAATGTACCAACATTGAGGTAATCAACCTCGAAAATTGAGAGTGTCTCTCTGAGCCATGGTATAGGTTGAACTGT